CTGTAATTAAAAAAAATACGTATAAATAATACTTCTGTTTTGTGCACATACATTATATTTACTTTGCTATCCTAGAAAAAGTAAAATAATTGAAAATTAGTTTAAGCATAATTAAAGATAGAAATATTACAACTTTAAAGTGACTTTTACCAAATTTTAATAAAGCTATCTTTTAAAAATATAATTTTGTAAGGAAAGAGCAATTTTCAAGTAAAAAATACTAAAACAAAAAATTTCCTTGAGTCTGGTGTATACTGCAATAGAATTTAAAAAGAGGGAATCATAATTATACATCTGTAGTAACATTTTATATAGCTCCAAAATCACAATGCCATTGATAATTTTTACCTATTGGAGCTTTAAAGAAATCATTTGCTCTAAAACATATAAAAACAAAGAATGCAAAATTATAAAACAAAATTAATGAAGATAACAGCAGAAAAGTTCTAGACGTAAGTCCTTTCAAAACATTAATTTCATGTTCCTTATCACCTAGAAATTTTTTGATTATTCACAAATACCTTACTTGTTTCATGATGTTTTCAGAGATGAAAGTCAATAAAATTAGTAATAGTATTTTAGTTTTTCAACTGAATAGACAGATAATATTTAATTTAATAATGTAATTAATGAATTATTTCTAAATAATAATTTAAAACTTTTCAATGGCTTTGGGGAGGTTAAGGCTTTTTGATAATTATATTACTGATTACATTTATAAAATGACTATCCTCATAAGGCAGGTACTTCTTTTTTTTTGGCAGACATGACTCATTTTTAAAATAGGGATTACTAACATATCACCAAACATACTGAAAAATTACTTCAGTCACATGAATATTTACAATTTCCAATGTGATCATAGGATCATTATTATTCAATGTTAAGTATAGGCATGTTTGTTAATTTATACTGAAATATCCAGTAACAAAATAAGCATGGTTTGGTTTATTTAATAGAATCAAGTAGTGTAATAAAAGTAAAACCAGTATGGTAGTTCTCAAAAACCCTAAAATTAAAATATAGATATTAACATTTTAAATTACTTTTTGGTAGCACAAAGATACACGTGACAATGGTTTATATTTATATAGCTCACTGGGTAAATCAAAACCTGTCAATGACAATGTCACTGACAAAGCATTGAAACAATTTTCAAAATGGGCACATTGAAATAACTGGTTAAAATCTGAGCAGGAAATATAGTTGTTCAGTTGAGATATTCAATGAGATATTTTATTATTTGATTTTTAGCAAGCATCATCAATACTATCTTGAAATCACAGATTTGCACATGAATATTTTTTTTGTGTGTGGTGCTGGGGATTGAATCCATGGCTTGATGCATGCAAGACAAGGCAAGCACTGTACCAACTGAGCTATATTCCCAGTCCCTATATATGAATATTTTAAAGAAATACACTGTGGATTTCTTTTTGTTCTTGAGGGCAGCAAGCAGTGAAAACTCTAGACTGAGTCAGTTCATCTTACACACATAGGTGCACACACTTGTTATTTTCTTTGTATACAAAAAAATTTACAGTCTTGGCACAATTTTGTTTTGTTCCAGTTTGTTTATATAATTATTCCATTTTGTGAAACATAAACTAAATTTCCTGGAAACATTTCTTAGAAATGTCAAATATATCACTCATATTACCTCATTAAGTACATTTGGTTTCATAAAGCAGAATGAGACGTATTTTTTTKGGGGGGGTAACATTTGTTAGTTTTAGTCAGACTTTGTTTTATAGAAAATTAGGTGTCAGAAAAGCTAACATGTTATAATTGGAAAGTTAAACCATGATTATATTTTATACCAATTACAAAAATGAATTAGAATCATGCTTATGTTTTGTAGCATGCACGTAAAATATTGAGAACATTTATTTTAAAGTTTTAAGTATCTGAATGTTAGACATGATCATATTTCATAAATAAGCACCTTTTTTAAAATTCAGAACTTTTTGGAATAAAGTATTGTTGAAAATATTTATGAATTGGGAAATTGTGCTTTAGCATACTTTCAATGAAGAAAAAGTATTAAACAACCAAGGCTTTCTTAAACTCTGTTTTTAAATTATAGTAATTTCTAATATTATTGTTATTATGTCCAAAGCAATGTAATACATGGTAACAACTCAGGAATAGAATAGTACATGAAAAATCAATTATGGAAACTACTCTATAGGGTATTAATAAAAGGTAATGAAATATAAAATTTTGTAACATCTACTATAAAGTCATTCTATGTTGCTATGATATATGTGAAGATGATATAAATTTATACTATACCGCATGTCAAACACTAAATTTACTCTATAAAAGGTTTTCTTTTCTTTTTTTTTAAACTCTAGCACTAATATCCAGGAGAACTAGAAAATTTTAGTATGGTACATTATTGAACATTAACTTGTCTTTAAAAAAATTGTTTTCCCCTTGATTATTTTTATCAATGTTAAAAATTCTGAAATAATATATTTATAAACAGTATTGACTTTTAATAAAAGCAAACATCTTCCAAAGTCCATATCTTTAAAAACTGGAGAATTACATCACATCATTTATCTTTGTGTTAAAGATTTCTTTACATAGTATCATCCTCTAAGTTTTAATCATCTGAAGTAATATTAATTAAAAAAATCTGTCAACCATAATTAATATTTTATCAAGTATTAATATGGACCCCAAATTATGTTGGTGTAGCTGAATTACCCACATATAATAAAAGGTATTTTATGACTTCAGAGCAGATATTGGTAATATTACCCTATTTATATTTGCAATGTGTTACATTTCCCAATTTTAGATAATAGCAGGCTATTTTTACTTAGGATTACCGGTTTTAGAAAATTAAAGGAACAAAATGTAAGAAGTTATTAAATTCAAAATTTAAGAAATATATATTTTATAGCCTAGCTGAGGAATATGTCATCCAAATTTTATTTCTGATACAAGGATACAAAAATCCTCTTAGATATACTTGTCTGTTCTCCATAATGAAGATCCTATTAGATATCCATGTCTTTTTTTCTTGAAATAATAAAAATAAATCTTTATCTATTTTCGTGATTAATATTAATCTAATGTGGACACAGTCAAAAACAGACACTCTGAAAAGACATAGAGATGAAAAGAAAGCAATTCATTTGTGTGACAATGAAAAGAGAATAGTGTTATATTTACATTTCATGTGTCAGGCCAGAGTTAAGAGGCATCAATGTGGAAGGTTAGAGATGGTGGGCAATTGAACACTGGTGAGAAGAAAAGAGAAAAGGAGCATGGAGAATTATGTAAAATAGCCTATTTTATTACTTATTTGAGAAAGGCATAAAGCATTTACCAGAGAAAAAGTCTGTGCATTGATAGTGTTTCTATTTCCACTGACATGATCAGTAGCAAATTTTAATTTTATAGCTGGATTAAGTTTCATTGGTGAAGCCTGCTAATGCAAATGACTGATAAAAATGTATACATTATCTTTTTTTTTTCTAAAGAACTGAAGGAAAATAAACTAGATCTTTAACAGCTTATTGTATCTTGTATATAAGTACACAACTAAATCAGGTATTTTCTCGACAAGTTATAAATTGGTTTCCCCTTCAGAGCTATGATCTATAGATGCTACCATACACTTACCATTTATACATGGCTTACTCTATGGCCCAAGCCCTGGGTTGGGAGGTGTAAAGGATATATATGTGACATTGTTCCTGCCTTTAAAGACCTTATAGATTAGTTGTAGAAAACAGTTAAGTTTACTAGTTCAGTAAAGATTTTAGAAGTATCAGAACAGAAGTGYATAAATGAGATGCAAGGTCTAACTAGAAGGAGAAAGGGGTAGGGAAGAAGATCCTTGAGAGGTGGTACCTATGTTCACCTTAATGTCTTAAACATTTTGTACTATAAGTATATTATTTTCTTTTACTATCAAATATATCTATAATTTGGTCAATGTGACTTCTGTACTAGAGAGTCCCTCTTTCAAATCTAAATCCACTTTAATAGAGATGATTTGTGTAAGTAACATTATTTAAGTAAAAGAAACTTTACTTAATTTTTCTTTATTTTAGATATAACTATTATATCAAGTAAATATCAATAAGATTAATAATGTAGTTATACTAACTGTACTATAGGCTGAGTATCTCTAATCCACAATGATTGGTCAAAAGTGTTTCAGATTTAGCTCTTTTTTTTTTTGATTCAATGTATGCATAATGAGCTATCTTGGGGTTTGGGCCAAAGTTTAAACAGGAAATTCACTTACGTGGTATACACACTTTATACCATTAGCCTGAAGGTAATTTTATGTGATATTTTTGACTATGACTTATCACATGAGGCCAGGTGTGGAATTTTTCATTTGTGATGTCATGTTGGTGCTCAGTAAGTTTTAGATTTTGCAGTATTTTTGATTTTCAGATTAAAGATGCCCAGCTGCAGCACAAATAGCTTTTCAGAAAAAAAAATAAAAGCAATGAAGTGATAATTTGTCTATTTTTAACCACAACATAAAAACTTCTGTGGGAATCCTATGATCAGTATTAAAGTGATTATAAACAGGAAGGTATTAATATTGATGTTTCTAATTAAAAATAAATTTAAGACAAATTTACTCCTTTTCAAACAGGGACTTATTGTAGTTTTACAGCTATGAAGAGATGAGATTGTCTCTAGGCATCATTATTTCTTCATCATTGTGATAAGAAGATTATTAAACCATTATATAAAACTGTACCTTAAAAATAGATAAGAATAAGTTCCATTATATTTTGAGATAGCTCAATTAATAGTTATGGATTATTTTATTAGGGTTGCCATATTATTTACTACTTAAGGAAGCTCTAACATTTACAAAGGAATTTCTATCAATAATAGATACCTGTATTTCACTCACTCACTCACCTCTCTCATTAATTCCACTGTCATCCAATCTTTCTTTGGGCAGCTGTTTCTGTTTTCCTTGTCTCCAAGAGTGGAAATATGACCCAGACCTG